GCAAGAGGGAAGAGGCGGCCGTGGGGGGGCGCACCCGCAGAGGCTGGACGCTCTTCTCCTGGAGTCCTCTTGCGGTTTTGGCCTTTGGGGAGCTGCGTGTTTTCTCAGGGGCAGGTCTGGACAGTGCGTGTCTCGGGCGTCTCTAGGTTCTGCAGGGCGTGAAGCACCGGGACCTGAGGCCAGCGTGCCCACTTCACCTGGCAGCTCAGGGGCAGCAGCAATGCCCTCCCTCGGCCCTGCCCAGTGTGTGGTGAGGGGGACCCTGGCCAGAGCCAGCGTGGTGGGAACCTTCCAGCAGGTGTGCGTCCTCGGCGTCTGTGACTGGGGCTCGCTGCTGGCCTCTTCTCAGCCCTGTCCCTCTGCCCCGTCCCGTGGGGCAGCCCTTGACTCCCTTTCACTCCCACCCCTTGAAGACTTCCTGCAGAAGTGTCAGTCACCTGAAGTTTCAGGCCTCGTGCTGAGGGCACCTCTTCAGGAGCGTCCACAGCTGGACGGGGAGCAAGTCTGCTTCTGGGCGAACAGACGATTTAAAGGTGATGCCAAGAGAAGCCAGTTCACCCAGGACTCTCTCAGCCCTACTGAGACCTGGATGCAGGGGTCTCAGGGAGGGGCTCCTGGACTCAGGCCCCTGGTGCTTTGTGGCTGTCATCCTTACAGACGTGTGCAGAGAGTCTGTGTGACCGGAGGCTCTGACTGTGGCAGTGTCACAGCTTGCCAGGCAGGGGTCACTCATAATCCCAGGGCCCCATTTAAGGAGCTCAGGATGCATTTTGGGAGAAGCTATGTCAAAGTCAGATGCTAGTAGGATGTAAGTCGACTTGTTTTCTACTGCTGCTAACAAAGGACCAAGACTTCCACAGATGACAAATCCAGTCACAGTATCTACCAGCCCCCACTCCTAAAGATTCAGAGTTGGGAGGTGGGAAGTCTCAGGGGCCAGGGAGGCTGGTTGCCTGTGGGACTGCAGGAGCAGAGCCATTTCCCCTGTGCAGCTCTGAAAGGCGGCCCAGGCTGGGGTGCAGCTCCGCAGCAGAGCCCTGCCCAGCCTGTGGGAGGCCCTGGTCCCAGCTCTAGCACTGAGGAAAACCAGGAAGAAAAACTCAGGGTGCTCAGCTGTGGCCCTGCATGTCCCCACTGCCTGCCCCTGTTGTCAGGACCCCCTTTCTCCACTTTGACTCCCTGCCCCAAATACCCTGCTGTTACCTTGGATCACACTTGACAATCCAAGCCTTCTCCCCACTCCCCAAAACTAATGTAGTTACAACCTGAAAGTTTCTTTTGCTGTGTAAAATATCATGTTCACAAATTTCAAGGGTTATGACCTGGACATTTTGGGGGGGTCCTTATGCATATTACCATAATTGCAAATGAGAGCAAATTGCCTGATGATAGAGATGGGTTTAACAAATGAAAAGCCGGATGACAACATCTTACCAGGCAGACAGCCATTGAACCTGACATCTGAGGGTAGAGTTCATGATTATCTCTACAGTGCCGGGGTCTTATGTCCCACTCATCCAGTGATTCAGGTCAAAAGCCAGCAGTGACTTCCCCTGGCAGTGGGCCTGGCTGCCTGCACTTGGCTCCCTAGACGTGTCTTGGAAGTTCCCATTCCCCATGCCACCTTTGTTTGCAGGCTCCATGAAGAGCAATCTGGACGATTTCAGATCCGCAGATGATACACGTGCCTGGAGCTTTCTAAAGTCTGTGTGTAGATGGATGGGCTCTTTAGTCCTCTGCCCAGTAGGAGCCAGACTCACCCACGTGGGCCTGTGTCAGCCTATCTCCAGGTGCCTGTTCCCTAAGGCTTGGGACAGAGGGAGCAGGAGCACTGCAAGCACACCCATGCTGGGCGCATCAGGGAATGATGCGCCACCCATGAAGGCCACCCCAGCCAGGAGAAACAGTCCCTCGGGCACCAGTTTCCTCCTGGACTCCTGGAGCACTATCCGAGTGCGTGAGACCCGCGCCTGTGCGCCAGGGCTCCTCCCACCCTCGGTCCGCCTTGCTCATTCCCCACCTGGGAATTCTACAGGTTTTCAGGCTTTCTGCCGCCCTTGAGTTGGTGTGATTCATGAATGGCCTCGCTCCACTGGGCACTTCCCTCTATCGGGCTTTACTCTGGG